TTTTTTTTTTTTTTTTTTTTTTTTTTTGGTCCATCTTTTTTAAGAGCTCGACTCAGACGCACGGGAAACATAACATTTCCTTTTANATTTATTTATTTATTTTTTTTTTGGTCCATCTTTTTTAAGAGCTCGACTCAGACGCACGGGAAACATAACATTTCCTTTTAAATAATACTACCGAACTGTTTTCACAAAGCTGAGAATCTAGCTGGTTCATCACTGAGCGATGCAAATGGAAACACAGGTACCCTTCCTGGGAAAGGGGGGGGGGAGGCTGCAGTTGCAGGACAGGAAATTTTGAGCGTGTGAGAAAATAATTTCAGAAAAAGGGGTTAAAAATGAGGTGGAATAGGAACAGGCATTTGAAAGAAACAATAACAGAGCGAAAACATTCTTTAAATAGAACAGAAATAAAGAGGCCATGGAAAAATGCTGCCCCCCTTTGAAGTAGAGAAGGGAAAGCTGGTAAAAGCCGACGCTAAGTGGCAGAGGCTGCTAATGAGGTTCTAAGGACGGGTCCTCCCGCCCCTCCCCTTTATATAGTAATTTCTAATCAATTTAGTGCTCTGCAGTCACTTGTAAGAACCACAGAGACCAGAGTAGTTTAAGAATCACCCCTGGGATGAAACACCGGCCTCTCCCAGTCCTTGCTCTCTCCCGGTCCTCTCCCCCTTTACGCAGAAAGTCTCTTTTCTCTTTACAGTTTCCACCTTAGAAACACGTGTGCATCGTCAGCTTTCTCTCGGATGAACCTATGCAATTAAAATCAATTTCTGAGGTGCTTCCAGATGCCCACCGTGGCCCTGTTCGTCGCTGAGAGTGAGGGGATTTTAAGGAATTGGAGCCTACCTGAAGCAGAAGCAGTCCATCCGATCGGGCATCCCTTCGAAACCGGGGTCTCTGTTCTCCCCTTCTGTCTCCTCCCGCCAGCCAAGACTGTGCTGGGTGATTCCAAATTCTACAAAAACATTTTCACACGTGTAAGGTCTCAGTTTTAGCATTTGGGTCAATTGCTTCTCTTCCCGTTTTTATTTTGCCTTTAAAATCATTTTTTCTTTGTGTTTTCAACTTATTCCATTTTATTTGCTACCCTTTAAATGCCCTGCCCATGAAACATTAAGATCCAAATAACATTCCTTGCTTAAACTAGGAACTGGAAACAGTGTTATAAATGTTTAAACACAATATCCAAAGAAAAGTTGTGTGGACAATATATTCTACTGTTATGCGATTTCATTCATGGTATATTTACCATGTAATTGAAAATGTCACCTCTTATTTTATGCTAAAAAAAGGATAATTCTATTTCTGGGGCACATAAAGCTCTGTGTTTCTAACACTCGCCCACCCACACCAGAGTCTTTTAGTGCCAAAGTATTAGATTTCAGAGAGACGATAACTAGTAAAAACAAATCTCTTCCCAGGCAGAATTAATCCCCTCTCTTCTGAGCTCCCAGGGCACTGTAACACACTTCTGCTGCAGTTCTTTGAATTGTTATTAATTGTTCAAATGGTTTGACTCCTCCATTAGACTATGCCTGGAAGGTAAAAATTCACTGTAATTCAGATGGTGAGGTGTTCAGTTTTTAGTTGGCTGAAACAGAAATTATTTTTTGAAAGATTTCTTTTGGCTGTCATTTAAAAGCATGTGAAACTGTGTAGAATTGCCAATGAAAATAATCTTATGCCTCACTATTTTTTATCTATAACATATATTTTTGTGCTGAGTAATTATTGAATCAAGGTTTGTCTCATACACACACACACACACACACACCACACACACACACACACACAGATTCTAAGAGGCTGTCTAATAATCTGGACTCCTCAAATCAGTTAACTCATTAAGCATCAGTCTCTGCATCTTTACAATGGGGATGATAATTGTACCTACTTCATAGACCTAAAGTGAGATAATGCATTTAAGTACTTAGTATAATGCATAGCACATAGTAGGTGGTAGGAGTTCAATAAAGCTACTGATTTTTAATCAGAAAAGGGAACGCTAAGAGTCCTAGGTATTAAAGACAAGTTTTACATTCGTTCTGGGTAATGCTGTAAATTGCTGCATTTCAGCCCTCTGCCAACTTATCCTGAGACAGCCCACGCTGAAAGGCTAGTGCCATGTGAGAATTCTCTCCTAATTTAACTTCATATGGACCAGAGTACTTAAAATTACCACTGCCCCTCTCACGGCGAGCCAAATACCTCCCATCTCCCAGATTCCTGAGCACAGACTAAATGGGAGTAAATTACAGAAAGCCTTTCACAAAAACAGATGCACATCAGAAAGAGTCGATTCCTGAACCAAGTGACATTTGTTTGCATTTAGCGGTGGGTGAAGTGGCACTGCCTGAGATTTTTACTAGGGAGCTCAGGGTGGCTGGCTCCGTCTCACTGGCGTCTCAGCTCCAGGAGAGCCCTCCCTGAGCATCCTCCGGCAGCACTACCCCTGCCTGCTTCCCTGTCCTCTGTCCACAGTTGCGTATCATTGCCAGTATCTGAAGTTAACAACTTATTTCTTATTCTGTTATCCATTTATTCTCCACTAGAATGCAAACTTTTAAAACTCAGTCATTGTTTATTAAATGAATTAATAAATAAATGCATGCATCAATTTGCTTCTGCAGTTTTTCTCCCGGCTCCTGGATTTCCCTCTAGAATTCTCTCTAGAAGCTTAGGAAATACCTGGATATTTCCCAACTTTATCAGGGAGGGAGCAATTAGTTTCCACTGCTACTTACTGGTGCATGCCTCCCCCCACCCCCTCCTACCCTGAGCTATTTATTTATAAAGTTAACAGTTAACCCAAGGGTCGCTTATGGAAGTACAATCCGGCAAGACACTTGCTAGTTTAAGTGGAATTTGTTTTTCCCTGCTAGGAGACATTATGCAGAGGAACACAGATGACGAGAAAAGAGAGACTTACAAGTGCATCAGCTCCTATTTCTGTAAAAGAGGTGGAAAATCTAAGCAGGAGACTACCCTCAAGAGAGCCTGACCTATCAGGTGGAAGTTCAAATTGTTTCAAAATGAAAATATTCATTTTTCACCACGGCGGATTATTGTCTCTATCATGATGAGGTCTGTAAATCTGTGAAGGGTAATTATATACAGGGTAATCACCAGCTGTTGTCTATTTGGAAGGAGTCTGCAAGAGGAAAAAACAAATGCCCTCTAAGAGATTGTGGCCTTCTTGAGGGTAGGGGCTGCATATTATACTTTTGCCTCCCCCTTGGGTGGCTAGGGCAGTGTGTCGTGGCATAAGGTACTGTTAAACATGCATTAAATTGCCAACAGGTACGTATGAAGGATTGGGCTGAATTTCAATGTAAAGAAAACTTTGCTGCTTGGGGAGTTAACTAAAGGTAGATATTGGGTTCCTGAGAGAGACTAGAAATTTTTCCTCTAAACTGTTTTCAAAAGAAAACAAATGAATTTATTTCACTTGATAAGTGATTTTCTTCCAAAAAGAACGGAATGACTTTTTTTTTAGCCCCTTCTTTTACATTATCATATATATCAAGAACAAGTTTTAGTAGAGTTCATTTTTAATAACAGGCAATTTCCCTTCCACTCACTGTAATTCAAAAAGTCACTGGATTCTAGGATCATAAATGGCTTTAAAGTGATATTGTCCAAATCCCGGTTGTGCAGATGTAACCCTTGCTCTGGAGAGACAGAGCTGAGAGGTCGCTCTCCTTCCCGTTGTTAGCAGCTGAACTTCAAATTCCCTTCCTCGGCAATGATGATGGACGATTTCAGGACTGAAGTGGAGTTTGCGTTAAAAGGCTGCTTTTTAGTAGCCGAACATGGAAGGCAGGATCTACAATAGAATTCTCTCTAAATTAACACCTGCCCAAAGGCAACATTTTTTAAAGATGAAAAGGGGTGAAGTCTCATAAAGATGGAGAATTTTAGCCATAAGCAATCTGAAAATATCAGAAATGGGTGGCTGCCACATCTTAAGGTGGTTATTTTCTAAGTGCCCCTTTAACAAACTAATTTCATGTCAAGATTGATTTGCAAATACAAGCTATCCTATTTGAAGCGTGGCTTATTATAACCAACTTGTCTTAAGGTACTTTTGATTGAGTCACAGAAAGAAACATACCATACTTTTCATCTCAGTGCACACCACACATAGAAGAAACACACGTTTCAAGAAACCAGGCTCACGCTTGTCACAAAAAATGAACTTCACTATTTTCTATTCTACTCCACTTCATTTTTTTAACTGTTGCTTTGTGTCCACTAAGTTGATTTCAGAACCCACGATAGGTCTACATTTCCAAAAACAATGCCAATTCCTCTTACGAAAGCATCCCCAGGTTAATACCCACCCTCCAAAGATCTACAACACCATTTCTACATAGAAAATATTTTGATAGTGTTCAGACAGCAAGAGTTAAATTTCCGTAAATGCCAAGTGCTTCTAACAGGTGCAGCGCCCTTTGGTGTTCAATAAACGTCTGTTGCTGACAAAGTTAATTTTATCCCCTTGAGAGGCCAGAGAGCGTCATCCTTGATCCCACTGCTACTATGTCACCTTCCCTGAAGTCTTCTGCCTACAGAGATTTCCCCCCAATAATCTCTCTAATGCAATGAACACGTTAATCAGCCCGGGTCCCTCATGCTTATACCACATGTGTTCAAGGGTTATAATACACCCGAGCTGTTTTGCCCACTCATTTTGATACTTTGTTTCGTCTCTCAAGTTAAAGTTAAGGGCTGTGCCCTACACATCTTTAGTAGCTTTATGGAAGAGCCCACCCTGCTCTCAGATTACTGGTTGTCAATGGGGGATGTAGGATGCCCTGGGATTAACCCCCAAGAGAAAAATCTCCCTGCACCAGCTCTATCGCAGGGCGCAGGGGACAGCAGCACCCTCCGCTCGGCAGAAATCTCCCGATTCAATGTTATTTCCATGATTGGGGCGACAACAGGGAAATTCTCAACGTTTGGCCCCCAGCAGTCGACCGTACGAGGTACTCAAAGACCTTTAATAAGTATCAGCTTGTTTGCCCCCCAAAAGGGTAATTAATGTTTCTAGAGAGAACTCTGGATGGAGGGCAGGCCAGGCGTTGGCAGGCCAGCAGCAGCTGCGCGCAGGGAGTGCCGAACCCAGGGCCATGCAAAGCACAGAGGGAATGTTCGCACCCAAGTCCCCAATTCAGAAGGTTTCTCCCACAGGTTGTGCTTGGTCACTGGGTGTGTGTGTGAGTGTGTGTGTTCCTCTGCAAGACTCCTCTCCTCATTGCCCAATTCCTTCCCCAGTCGCATTTTTTACTGCTAACAACAACATCCCCACTTAGATCCCCAGAATCAAGGGCCTGGAGGATATTGCTCTGCAGTG